AACAAAAAAAAAGTGCATGTATAAAAAAAATATGGTATTCATTGATTATATGGAAAGCTTTTTATCATTTATCATAAAAAACAAGACTTTCTAACTCTCTTGCATTAACACTATTATTTATTTCTGTTGATATTTGACCAAGATTTTCAACAGTGGCTAGTTCATGAAACTGTCTGTTGGACAGAACGATGATAACGTTGATCATACCAAAGAGTTCAAAATGGACTCTATAATTTAACAAAGAATAATTTCATGTTTATATTGCCTGTAAGATAAATAAATTGTCTTTAACATTGAATGCCCACGGAAATTTTTTTTGAATAAAACTGCGGTTTTCTGACAAGACGCCGTAGCTAGTGATAGTTTCATATACTGTTGGTATACTTGGCTGTAATTGCAGCATCACCACACACTTCAATTTTAAAAGATGATACATAGAGTTGTGAAACTATTCTTAGAAACCATCTATCATCATTGGTTATTCAGAAGAAAAGATTTTGAATGATATAGCAGTTTACCAGTCATAGTATCTACGAGAAAAAACGTGCTTTCTTGTGGTGAATGTGGATGTTATGTGTGCTATTGTTATTATGCATTTTATCTACTACCTAAATGGCATTTGAAGAATTATGTGAAGACAAAGAAAATATCGTGTCTTACTATTCATAAAACATTACCTAAATATTATTCCAATAACTCTGTCAGATTCAAGTGGTTCTTCAGTAATATGACTTTAAGTTCAGCGCACAGCCACTCGAAGGACAGTATACCTGAAATTTACATGAAGTTAAGAAAAGACAGATCATCTTGAGTAACCTTGGCTAATACAAACTACTTAAGAAAAAAAAAACATGACTATGCGTCGTATGTGAAATCGTGCTTTTCGTCAGCTACATTAATATGCGGAAGTTAGATCATCTGTATGATTTTTCAAAACATATATTCACCACATCATATAAAGGTCACTGTAATCAGACCGTGGCTTCTGCTTTCAAAACTGCGATTTCAAGCGGTGTATAAAAGCGAAATCCATTGTCTCGCCTCCAATGATTCATCCACGATGGATATCTTTCAAAAAAACTTGTCCGTAGTTACTAGTGCAAAATTGTATCAATTTTATGGAAAAATGAGATTGACTAATATCTCTGCAGAATAGTTGATGTTTTTTGATAGAAAAATGTTTAAATATTCACAACTGTTTTCGCTGTATAACAAAAATCGTTAATGTGAGCATACTCTTGAGAGATGGTTTTGACTATAATTAATTATAAAAAGCTTACCTTTTATCAAAGTGCTGCTGTATTCGCAACTTTGTGAAGGTAAAATTCTGAATTTCGTGTTTAAATCATTTTAAAATAACTAAAGAACAAGCGATATCTGATTTAGTTGAGTTTTATTGTATCAAACAAGAAGATCACAAATTAAACATATTTTTAAAAAAAAAGACATAGTGAGATGATTATAAGAAGTATTTCAATAATACTTTAATGTATTACTTCTATAAAATAAAATTTTCAAGAAATAACTAATCTTTTTTTCAATCTTAAGTGAGCTTCTAATTATATTCCAATCTCCAACAACCGAATATTATGAATAATTGTTAAGAAAAATATTACGAACAAAGTGCAAGTGACCATCAGCAAGAATACGTTGACATCTATAGGCATGAATTTTTTGTTGATGGCGTTGGTTTTAGTCTAGTCGTAGAACAGATGAAATTCAATGTTAATCGCGAGGAATTTTATTTTGTTGAAGAATTTCTACTAGAGTTTATATTTATAACGTATGATCGAAAAGTTTTTGGACAAAATATTTGTTCACTTTTGATCAACTAGAAAGTATTACGGACGAGTCAAAAGCTATATGTTAGAACCAGAATGTTGTGCTCTCTTCAAATATGGGCTCAGAAATTTTGTCCCAATTTTTGTTCGAGAATAGTGAAATAATCTTTGAGAAGTCCGAAAAATGAGTTTGGACGGAGAGTTTTTCCACACACGTTTGTATTTTCACTACTACAAGTCGAAACGAAAAGTTAGGGTCTTTATTTATAGATCATCTTGTAGATCAAAAATTGCTCTACAAAATGCACCATTCCATATTTTTTTTCTTTTGACAAAACCCCTCAATTTTTCTTTTGCTGGAATAGTTATTTTTGAAAAACCGACTTTTTGACCAAAACTATTCCACTTCGAAAAGAGATCTTGACAAAATGTTTGTGACTACAGTTAAGTAAAAGCTACAGCTTAGGTCAACATCACACTTTGTAGAGAATTGTTTGCTGTACAAAATGACCGAGTTGAACAATTTTTAGTATGTTCGAAAAAGAGCTTATAGGGTGGAGAAAACCATATTACTTCATCATTAAAAAACGAGTAATCATTTTTCAGGTCTTTCCAAAAAAATCATCACTGCGTTTGAAGAAAAAAGATACAACATTTTTAAGCCCATATTCAGAGACAGCACAAAATTTTAGTCGTAACCTATAGTTTTGACTCGTCCGAAATGGTTTCAAGACGGCCAAAATCAAAAAACATCTTTATCACGAATTTCAACCAACAAGTTCCGTCCAAACTCATTTTTTGGACTTCTCAAAGATTATTTCACTATTCTCGAACAAAAATTGGGACAAAATTTCTGAGCCCATATTTGAAGAGAGCACAAAATTCTGGTTCTAACATATAGCTTTTGACTCATCCGTAATACTTTCTAGTTGATCAAAAGTGAACAAATATTTTGTCCAAAAACTTTTCGATCATACGTTATTTCATTCATTCTGTAGAATAGGTCGTGACTAACTAACGAAAGTAATTGTGTGCACACCAAACAAATGGTATCCACTCAATGATGTGGCGAAAGAAAAAAGTATGAGTCGCTGCAATAGGTAAAAATAAACGACATGTGATTGTTTTCTGGTAGTGATTTTGTCAAAAAGTCCCTTTAAAAAAATGGCAACTTTTGTGTTTTCGCTGTAGATCTATGTATATTATCTTTTCGAAATAATCTAATATGGAACATACTAAAAACCAGCGCTCGTTCGAACTTATTAAATTTGTTAAACGACAATGATTGCCTTGAATAGAAAACAGATTATTTTCGAGACTAACAACTAATGTTGTTATTTCATTAATATTATCAGTAATAATATGTTAGTTAAGATTGATTTTACTGCTATCTGATACAGCATTAGCTTTTTCTTCATAGAGATTTAAATTTGGATCTAAAGATATTGTTGATAGTTTTTTAGATTTCTTAATAATAAATGAATCTAATGTTTGAGTTCGTATAGATCTATGCATGCTGTATTCGTTTGCATACAATTTTCATTATCTAAAACTGTGCATGATCATGTATCATTTATTTGAAAGTGAAAAGTGAACTTTTCGATTAATCAATAGTAATTCTCCTTAGCTCAAAAAATAATTGTGCAAGGTAGTAACGTAACTAATTGACCTGAAAGAATGACAGCAATATTTTTCAGTCTTTTGAAAAGGATACATGTAAATTAAGAGTATATATCAATTTGTTAAGCTTTACAAAGGCATTACTGATAGTATTTACAATAAATATATTTGCAAACTTATTAAATTCACTAGTTGTGATATCTGTGAAAACAAAAGTGACAGCACATGGTGTAAATAAAATGTTGAAGATATAAAGGATGGCCCAGAGGTCCTGACTCGATTTGAATATTAAATTTTTCTTTAGCAAAACACGTGGTTGAACATTTGTCTCTATAAAGAAAAGATGCAGTAAAACACGCTCTACAAAATGACTTTTGATTGACACTGCTAGCTTATATAGTAAGAAAGTTATAGGCTTAGAGATGTGCTTCACAAAAAAGAAAAATTAACGGTGAACCCGATGTCGGTGTTTTTGCTCGAACTCCTGTTCCACAGGTCGCCTAGAACAAATTCATTTTTTTAATAGAAGTGCCATGAAATTCTTTACAAAATCATACCTAAACTTTTATTTCAGAACTTCAATCAAGAAAACTAAGGAAATTATATGGCAGACGACAAAAAATGAAAACATGGCAAATTCGATATTTTTTTCAATCGAAACTTTTTCTTCTCTTATTACTTCCGTGAAGAAGCTTAGCAAAAGTGAGAACTGAGTTTGTGTTTCGTAGATTCCAATGTACTATTTCTCCTGGTCTGTAGAAAGATTTCTTTTTAGACCAGATGATGTGCTCGAGAATGAAGTCTCAAAAGTGGCAAACCNAAATGAGTAAATAATGGATTCAATATGGAAAATTTAGCTTTTTAGAATGAGAAAAGTTTATATAAGGGTGTGGGGTGGGGGTGCGGCATGTGGGTGGGGTGTGGATGTGGGTGTGGATGCAGAAGAAGACATACGTACACAACACCAACATCCACACCCTCATCCCACACCATACCCACACACACCCACTCCCATCATTTTCATCATGTCCACGTATTATTGAACATTTTGGTAATGTTAATGATTGTAAGATCAACATTTTCTCATCAAAACCAACCATTTTTATACGATGTTCAAGTAATGGTTTTTCTGTTTTATTTGTATATTTACGTGGAATTTCAATTTCACGTACACATGAAATAGCTAATAGACGATGTTGTTGTCGACAATTTAATGAAAACCATGTGGAATAATCATTGATACTGGTTTTATCTTGTTAAATAGATTTTAATTTTGTTCCGAGATTAGTTAAAATTGATTTCACATCAGTTAATAAAACTAAAGAAAATAATTCATCTTCGTTACCAAAAAGTGTATCAAGATCTTTTTCAATTGATAACGAATTGATATTAAATGTGGTTTTAATAAACGACAACCTGTTCCATCACCAAAGACACTATCTTGCGATGTAATCGTTACTGAATAGTTTTCATTAGTTTTGTCAAGATTAATAATATTAGAAAAAAAGGATCTTTCAATTTTTTTAAATGATTTTTTAATTCTTTTTTTAAATTTCGTGTATGAAAATCATTGGTTAAATATTAAAATAATTCTTTACATCAACTTTTATATTGTTGTTGTTTTGGATTTAATTGATTTAATGCTTGAATAAATTCATTTACTAATGGTGTATGGCGATCTAATTTTTGACGAAGAATTTCTAAATTACGTTTTAATATTGGATCAGTAAGAGAATATTTTAATGTTTCATAACTTAATTTAAATGGATAAACAATTGATTGAGGATAATTTTAGACTTATTGGTTTATCTAAATTGTGCAGTTATTTGATATCAACAATCAAAAAAACATCCAACATGGAATTTCTTGTAAACGATTAGCAATTGAATGTAATGTTTGAGGATAGAATTCAACAATTTGTATTAAACGTGAAAAACGTTTATCACCCTCATTTGAACCATATTTCATTGAAGAAAGAATGAATTTTATAATTAATTCAGCTACTTGTGTACCATGATTACCAGAAAATAGATGATGCATTAAATGATTTTCGTCGTCATTATTTTCATAACGACTTAAAGAATCATCGCACATACTGGCTAATTCGTTATAATCACGACTAAGAAGATTTTCTTTTAGTAAGACGAATATCGGTCTAAAGAAAAAGGTTTTTATTTGATTGTATCATTGGAAAGTAGACTTAGTCGGAAATTTTCGAGGATCTATCGAGATGAATTATTTAGGAAAGACTGAAGTTTCTATTCACTGCTTTTTGTGAATCATAGATTCCAGATGATAGAAAGCCTGAAAACGGTCTTTGAAAGTCATTGAGGTTCGATAAGTCCTACAGAAGACGGTGAACATCCTACCAAATCCAGCAATTTCCCATCGCTTGGATTCCGAAGAGATTCCTGTAGAATTCTGCAGGATACAATAGGCACCAATAGAATATTCAGAGAATGCGATTAGATCTGACTATTGAACTGATCGATCTGACTAAAGAGAAGCCACCTTGCGCATCTCATCTTTTAATAGTATCGAACTGGAGAAAGACGCATCCTTCACTCTGAAGAACTTCACGCAATGTGGCCCAACCACAGATCTCAAATGTTTCGTATATGTCAGTCTAAGGAAAATTTCTTTCTTACTGATAGATTTTGTAAATCTGTTTCTTGTTGTTCAATATTATTTTATAATATATAAGCAGTTTTATTAAACAATTAATTAATTAATTAATCTGTTTTTTGTACAGTCTCTGTTTGATTATCTAAACCATAGATATACATTTCTAATTGTCTATGTTTAGCTTGAGAGACTTTTTCATCATGTTCATAATCACAATAAGCTTTCGGTTGAGCAAGTCAAAAAATCAATCACTGTTCGATAGAATTGTGAATTTAATTGTATAAATCTGGAATTCAAAGAAGTAGTTTGTTCATCAATAATTTGTAATGATGAAATTTTCATTTTCATTTTCATTTTTTTAAATTCTTTTGCAACAATTATAGATAATAAACTAGTTAAAGTTGTTGTTGATGATGATTGAATTTGATGACGTTTTAAATGAATATCGCAATAAATTTCTATCCAAACAAATTGATATTATCAAAGGATTTCGATATAAATCAAGTCAATTACGTGTATCATTTAATTTTGTTAATGCTAATTTAATATTACGTTGATGTAATACACAATAAGCCATATCAAGTGATGATTGAACTTTATAATTAACTAGCATTGAATCGAATTCTTTCGCTTTAAAATGACTGGTAAAACTCATTCATGGTTCACTGATTAATTTATCAACAATCTAAATTTCAATTTACAAATATTCGATAAAAATTAAATCTTTTTCTTACATCTAAAAATAATCCTCAATTCGTAACAATGTCATCCCAAGTAGATATTGAACTTCGAATAACATCAGGCAATTTCCATTGTGATAATAAATCTTTTTGTATACGTTCCAGAAATAAATCTCGAGTGATAAGATCATCTTGATTATTTGTTAAATAACGATTTTCAAGAATTTTTAATAAAGATAAATTCTGTTCAATAAAAACAAGAAATTGATTAAGTTCATAATATGGTTGAATTAGTTGAATGGTTGTTCTACGGCCATATTCATTTAGACGACTTAATTGAGACCAATGAAGGAAAAATTGATCTTTAGCATATTGAATATAATATTTCGAATCTAAGAAAAAAAGTTGTTAAGTATAAAATAACGATCATCAGTTTCTGCGCTAATTAAAAATTATGACTATAACTATCGTCTTGAAATTTTATTCACTTGTGATATCTACAGTTCTCGGGCAAACCTAGCTCTAGTCTGATAATCTCCTATTCCGATATTGACCTATTTATTCGAAACTTACAATCGAAATCTTTTTGATAAAGAAAGCATGTAGCTAATTCAAAAGGATACAGTTTTTCAATATAAGATCGTTTGACAAATGTTGTTTCTGAACTTGATGTTGTTGTTGTTGTTGTTGTATTCGTTGTTATTGTTGATAAGTGATTAAAAAATTGACAAAGATCTTCTGCATCTAATTGCTCTTGTTTCGTACCGGAAATTAATAATTTTAATTTTGAAGTTACTGCATATGGCATTAAATAATTTATTTGATAAGCATTTGACCATAATGTATGAAATGTAGTATTTGGAAGAAATATATGTTTTGATATACTTGTCCAATGATTTAATTGATTACAACAAATTAACATTGATTGTGTCCAAAATTCATGTTCTATTCTAATACGGATCATTGATTGTTTCTTCCAAAATAGGATATTATTCTAATCCTGTGATATAAGTATTTAAAGTTAATAAAAAATCTCAATGACTTTCTTCTTCAATAGCTTGTAAAGTTTAAAGGTTTCAATCCTGGTATTTGAGAAAATATTCCTCGTACATTATCATAATTAGCTATCGAGCGATAACATTTATCTAATTCAAGATAATTGATTAACTTGTTTGTATAATTGATTATTTAATTCTGGATCTGATTAAAATTTTTTCTTGATTGTTCCTTGTATAAACATCATTGGTTTGATTGAAAGATAGAAAATTTTCTAATGTTAAAACTGCCATAGATTCTAAATAACTAGCAATTGCGCTCCTGCACTAATAAATTGTGCGAAAATTTTCATTTGATTAGATTTAAAAAGAGTAGTAATAAATAGCGCAGCGATAAATGGTAAATAGAAAATTTCTGATTGTGATAGCATCACATCAAAATGTTGTTCAATCGTTTGAATTAATTCAAAATATTCATCTTCCGATAAATTCTCTTCAAGTGAAGTTAAAATTGAACTAAATAAAGTAAATGAGAAATATAATTTTCAAATTGAGAAAGAGCTTGAAGAGGAATGATAATATCACTAGAACGAATTGGAATCTCAGGTAATTCACCAATACAATAGGAACGATATTTTTCGACTTGATTGTCTTGTTTTAATTTAATTCCAGCGAGAAATTGTTTTTCTTTGTTTTTTTTTCATTTTGTTTAACAGCAAAATATCCATGTACTTTAACAGAATCTTTCACAAAGCTTCGCTTGCGACGAAAAATATCATTATCTTCTTTCGATTGAATCATTTTTGATAGATTCGACTTTTCTACAAGAAGCTAGCTCATAAGATGAGAATGATGTTAAAATAATGGAGTTAATGTGTTTTTGACTTTTTCAAATTCATCTAATTACGATAATGAAACTGATGGGAAAAATGGAATTTATGGGATGAAATATTTAAAAATAACGATGTAAAAAAATATTTTTGATGTTTTTAGTCTCTGATAAATAACAACAACAAAAAACCCTTAATGGAGACAAGCAAAACACTGCCCACTGATGCTAAATCACCAAATCAAATGCGCATAACATGAAAAACGAGGAACAACAACTACATTAACAAAAAAACTTAATGGAGACAAGTGAATCACCACCGACAGACTAAATCACCAAACAAACAGAACAAATGAGCATAACATTAAAAAAAAACTACATCAACAACAAAGAAAGTGTATGTTGTTGAGAATTATCTATTGTTGTTGTTGTTGTTGTTGTTGTTGTTGTTAAGCTAGACGTCTATCGCGTTCTAAAATGGCTTAGATGACGACATATATGTAACAATCATAATCCACTCACCATCTTTAAGATCTTGAAGAAAAAGATCTGATAAAAAACGGATTCCAACGTCATTTGCAAGTTGTTTTACTTGCTCATCATTTAATTTTTTTTTCTTTAAAAAGTTGCTTACGTTCTTGGATAGATACATTTAAACGTTCAATATCAGCTTCATAAGCAATGATCTAAGAAATAAAAGAAATATTAAAAAAAGAAGCAAAATAGGATGTATCTTGTAAAAGCAGTTAGTAAATGTTCAAATATTCATGCAGCAACACAGTCGAATTTAATTTAATGGAAAAATCTGGCATACATGCTATTCGAGTATTTGTTATAGCGCGAACTTGTATTAACCAGAATAGAATTGTTTATATACAGGGTGGACCAAAAGTCACTATACCGAAAAAAAATCCAATATCTTCACTACGGCGCGAAGAAACGAACTGATTTTTTTAATCAATGATAGAGGCATGTTCAAGCTATATATTCATAAAGACATGCCTAAAGAGATCCTTTGTTAAGTATAAAGAGTGGCCCAGAAGTCCTGACTCGATTTGAATATTAAATTTTTCTTTAGCATAACACGTGGTTGAACATTTGTCTCTATAAAGAAAAGATGCAGTAAAACACACTCTACAAAATGGCTTTTGATTGACTCTGCTAGCTCATATAGTAAGAAAGTTATAGGCTTAGAGATGTGCTTCACAAAAAAGAAAAATTAACGGTGAACCCGATGTCGGTATTTTTGCTCGAACTCCTGTTCCACAGGTCGCCTAGAACAAATTCATTTTTTTAATAGAAGCGCCATGAAATTCTTTACAAAATCATACCTAAACTTTTATTTCAGAACTTCAATCAAGAAAACTAAGGAAATTATATGGCAGACGACAAAAAATGCAAACATGGCAAATTCGGTATTTTTTTCAACCGAAACTTTTTCTTCTTTTATTATTTCCATGAAGAAGCTTAGCAAAAGTGAGAACTGAGTTTGTGTTTGGTAGATTCGAATGTACTATTTCTCCTGGTCTGTAGAAAGATTTTTTTTAGACCAGATGGTGTGCTCGAGAATGAAGTCTCAAAAGTGGCAAACCCCCGTTCCTGACACTATACCCAAGCAAGAAATAGAAAACATGATGGAAGCTTGATTTTGTAGTTAGGTAGAGAAGAGCAATCATTTCTGATTAAAACAGAACAAACCCGATCCCAAATTTTTTTGTTTTGATGGAGTTACGGGACTTTTACTTAAAGCACAACCATACGAAGAAGGTTCATGGTTAATTTTTCTTTCTTGTGAATTACATCTCTAAGCCTATAACTTTCTTACTATATAAGCTATCAGGGTCAATCAAAAGCCATTTTGTAGAGCGTGTTTTACTGCATCTTTTCTTTATAGAGACAATTTTTCAACCACGTGTTTTGCTAAAGAAAAATTTCATATTCAAATCGAGTCAGGACTTCTGGGCCACCCTTTACAGATGACCCACACCTAAATGCTTAGTACAATAGTCATAAATCTTATTTTCTTTTTTTTTTGACTTTGAATCGTATCTGACCGTGTATTGACATGAAATGAAACAAATTGTTTAAAATATAAACAAACAGATTATAAATGAACTATGCCGGGTGAGATAAAAACTACGGTATTCAATTCTTTTTCCAAAAGATGCACGTTGAATTCTTTGCAAAAACTATATTACGAGATTGGGGCTGTCAGCTCTGAGGTACAAGTCATTGAAAGTAGCGCCACTTTCAAAGTATTGTACTCTAGAGTTGACAGCCCTGTACAAGATTCTTCTGACTTGTTCTCATGGATTTTTATAAAACTAAAACAAAAGATGTGTGAAATGTTGCTATATCTCATTATATTGGAAATTTTTTTTTAAATGTTATTTTTTGTATATATCGCTGCACACACGTCATAAAAATTTGAATTTCCTTTTGAATTACAATGAAAACGGTAGATGCCCTCCTAATTGTTCACTCATTGAAATTTATTTCTTTTCTGTATCCTAACAATAATTGCATTTGGGATACTTTCAATTTTTTTCTGGCGATTTTCAAACATCAAAAGAATCACACTGTCCATATACACTATTGAGCAATGAATTGTTATACAGTGGTCTTGAGTTAGATTGTAAACTTGTGTTTTCTCGAACATCTACATCATTGCTAGAATGAGAAATTAAAGAATTCCATATATATTTCAATACAGTTCTCTCAATTCAATATCACAAGTTGAGAGAATCTTTTACTTAAACTCTTGTAAAGAATTGTACGACGCACATTTTGCCTTTGCTGAGATATTTACAAAATATCCGATGTTACAATCATTTTGTCTCACACGGTAGAACTATTAACAGTGTTTTTTTTCGTTGAAAGTTTTGCAGAGCCTTCTGTATTTAGATGCATGACTAGAATAGTCAGAATAGAGTCAATATCAATATGAATCAATGAAGACATGAGCACATGTGTGCAAATTTCCCAAAATAGAGCACGTTGATATAATGAGGACAGATGTCTAGAACAAGTCGTCAATTGAGCCTGATTATGTAATGGAATACATGTGATGATTTATTTGTTCTATCCTTTCGTTATGGATAAAAAAATTATTCCTAAAAAAGCACTTCTGTATATTGAGTCTTTCTGTTTTGCAATGCATATTAATGCTCTTGAAACTTAAGGTTAAAGTGTGTCTGCAAAAGAGCACTTCTGTCACATTTTCTTCAATAATTGATTAGAAATTGATTGGATGAATAATATTCTTGTCAGAAGCAAGTGATAGTTAAAACATAAAATCTACGTACAATCACAGACCTAAGAATCAATAGTACTCTAGTATTCATAATCATCAAAATGTACTGCATACAGTCATGCGTACTCCGATGAAAATAAACGTTTGGTCAACTGAAGGATTTTTCTTGTTGAATGCATGTATGAACATCTCTTTGAATTTACCTATGAATGTTAATTCCATCCAATAGACATAAATTATATTTTACTTTTGTATAACAATGGTTTTAATTACAATCTCTTGTTGATTGAGAATTCAAATATATGTATATCTAATATGAAATAATATCAATTCAAAAAGAAATGTTGTATTTAAAGAGACTCACTAACTATACTTAAACTATGATTGATCTATCTGCATTGGTGCCTTCCTGTTTCATCGATGCATATTTTTTTTTTGAAGAAATCTTGCCCCTAGAGAGAAAGAAATAAACTAACACTAATGACACTATCAGACATTTATAAAAACGAACATTAATATCAATAGAAAGGCGAGAAGAACACTTTTGATTAGCTGGTGAGAGTGTAAGTATTGAGGTTCTCTATTCCTTCCTACATCTATACACAAATCCAGAGATTGGACAGTTGGCACCATCGACATAATACAAATGTTGCCACCATCAATTCAAACTTATATGCAATGATTGATGAATTAAAGGTGACACGTTGAAATCTGACTATGATGAAACAATTTGACAACAATGTAAACAAGTTTTCAAGAAATAAGAAAAAAAATTATTTTTTGAAATCAACGAATTCTTGATTCAATGAACCGATATAAGCAAAGTTCTTTGTCATTGACTATTTTGATCGGATTAGTAGACGAAGCAAGAAAATTAATTAATTAATCCTAATTTTTTGATAAAACAGGATCATAACATCTGCGTTCATAATAAAGATATCATATAAAAAAAACTACATTTGTTAATCATGTTTATTTAACCTTAAGAAAACATTAATGAATGTACAGAGCTGAGAGTATCCTGCTATCATTATGCCACAAGGATCTTATGGTACTTTATGAGTTTTTAGCACTGAAATACAAAATACTTTCAAATGTTCAATTCACTCACTTATTGAAAAATCTTTCATAGAATCCTATAAAAACTGATCAGGTACCCATATACTGAGACAATTCTTAGCAGCGTATCCAATCAAGATCCTATGACATAATGGTGACAGAATACTCAAAAAGTGTCCTGCTGACAATTGCCTCATTTCACGAGTGATTTACCTCGAAGTCAGCACATTCACTTAGGAAAAACAAAAGCAATGATTTAATCGCAATAAAACATTATTCATGTTTCGTCTAACTATTGTCAAGTGATAAGCACCGGCTATTTTATTACTCATTCTTAATATATGTAATTACAAAAAGAAAACAAAAAACAACTCTTAGTTGATTAAATATCATTGAAGAGTAAATATCGTTGCAGAAAATTTGGTAAATCTAATTGTTTTACAGCACGATCAATACGTATTTTTGTTGGTGAATTAAATAAATTTGTTCGAATTTGTTTACGTGAAATATTTTTTAATGAACATGGTGTTATTGCTCGTTGATATATTTCTAGTTTTGTTTTCTCATCAAGTTCTGTACATTCAGCAATATAACTTGGATGATATGAATAAGCTGCATCACAAAGCAATTCAATTAAATATAGATTTGATTGAAAACGACGTAAAAATCGTAATACACTATCTAAAATAAAGAAATTATTTCTTAAATAAGACGAAAAAATAACTAAACCTCGTCCTCTTGAAAATGTAATTCGAGCTCCATAACCGATCAATAAACGAATAATACGCATATCCAAACGTCGGTCACGAGCATGTTTTATATAAGCTACTAATGGTGTTCGATATGGAACATGTTGACGATGACGATGTGGATTATAAGAAACCGATTGATTAGGATCAGCATCATTTTCTAGAAGACATTTTATAATAGAATATTGATTTTTTAAATTTGATAATTGACAAGCAAGAATTAATGGTGTTACACATTCAACATCGTCATTTGTTTCTTCATTTGTATTGGAACCAAAAGCTAAAATTAATTCATTATATATATATATATATATTGTACATTTTATAAAAATTTTACATACCAATTAATAATTTTACTGTATCAGCATGATCTTTTCGAATAGCTAATTCCAAAGGTGAGTTACTTAAATCAGGATGTTTATTAACAAAACCTCCATAAATTAATAATTGTTCAATAATATCACATCGTTTTGTTTCAATAGCTATAACAAGTGCATTTCTTTGTCGAAATTTTCTTGTTACATAATTAACATTAGCTCCATAACGACATAATAATATTACAGCACCGAGATTCCCTTCTCGACATGCTTTTATTAATGGTGTTATACCACTACGTGAAAGAGCATTTGCATTAGCACCATGTTTAAGAATTAATTCCAGTGATGGAAGATTTTCATATGGTAATAAATTTATTTCATAACCAAGAAAATATTGTTGATTAACATTAGCACCAGAACAAAGAAGTAAACGCGCACATTCAATATGATTATTTTCTAAACAAAGACTTAATGGTTCTGTCATAACATCATAATAAGGAGCAATTATTGAACGTGTTTCAGAATCATTTACTGCTATATGAAAATTAATAAGAGAACCATGATCAATTAAGATATGCATGATATCAATAAAACCATATTTTGCAGCTAAATGCATAGGTGAATAGCCGGCTTCATCTAAAACATTTACATCTGCACTATAATCTTCAATAAGAAGACGAACACATTCAAAATCATTTTCAAAAACAGCATAATGCAATGGTCTAAGGCCACGACGAACAGCTCCATTAATATTTAATTGTTCACAACTGCAAGATGATGATAGAATATATTTTTAATTGAAAAAAAGAAAGAAAAACAAAGTACCTAAGAATGAGTTTAATATCTTTAAGCGGCGAATGTTGTACAATAGCATCTCGAAGCAGTAATAAAAGTGAATCTCCATCAATAGTATTATCAAAAGGCATTGTGTTTTCTTGCTTTATAATGTCGTCGTTATTTTGCGTCATTCAGCCGTTTTCTTGATTCTTATTATTTATGCATTCATATTGCAATCTTATTCTTTGGCTCGGTATTTTTTTCTTTTTTTCTATCATTCCAGTATCATCTGATGATTCCTTGTCGAGATTCTCGTCTGTCGTATATACACAAAAAAAACCTTCCATCAATGGTATATACAACAACAACAAATGCATGCATTAATAGATAATTTAGTTTTCACCCTCGTGACAAATGACAAGAAAAAAAAACGATATACGTATATTCTGATGCATATGTTAACCTTTGATTATCGCTTTTTTTTTGTCGTAATATCATTTTACAATTAAATTAAATATATTTTTAAGACTACTAAATAATTAACTAAGTTCTCATTCATTGTATATGTATATAACTAAAAGAAGGATAAAGTATCTAGACAAGTATTATCGTCAGTCAAGTGAACGAATAAATGTGTATGTACATAAGGGATAAGTATTGTGTGACCGACACATACACATATATTGTAATGAGAAAAGAATTATGCCGGTCAGCTCGACCTCCTTATGTAGATATAGACAATGTACACGACATTCAAACAAATAATAATATCGGTCATAACCGAGAAAGAAATGCCCCGTAACCTTTCATTCTCTTAAAAAATCTTGAATAGAAAAGTTAAATTGACCTTATTTCTCTCTCCTATTGAGAAAAAGATGACCATCAACTCATGTTGTCGGTCATCCATTCGATAATTCCTCTTTCTCGTTCTTTACTTCAATTTGATCATGAACACGTAAAGAAAGAACGAGAACAAATCTATATACATAAGGTCAAATGCTCGATGAAAACTATTGTGTATGCAGATGTTCATAAGAAAGAAAATAAGTACATGTAACGGTCAAGAAGAAGCGGGTCAGATTGACCTAACTCAATGTTGACCGCAGACATGTTCATACTTTGACCTAAAAAAATATAAAAGACAGTGAATGAATTAGGGCAACGAGAGAAACAAAAAAAAAGAGAAAATCTATTTAAAGAAAAAGAAAGGTCAGTTTCGTATTTGAGTTCAACGCGAATAGACATCTATTATTATTATTCGACAAAAAACAATGACGACTAGCATTCAAGTTCGTTGCTTTTTTTTCTTTTAATTTTCTAAAAAACTAAATCATATATTCTATAATCATAATAGAAAATGCAATCAAATGATTTTCTTCGTTCATCAACAACACCATTCATAGAATCTCCTCATTTATTTAGTAATGATTTACAATCTCAACTTAGTATTCTCTATGCACTTACACAACAACAAATATCATCATCATCTTCATCATTATCTCCTTCCGATTCAAAAGTTAAACGTATAAAGTATGTTATTCATCATTGAGTTTATAGTTCATTGCTTCTGTTTTTTTTTGTATCAAGGAAATCAATGCCATTACCAAATGAACTTCCAACTCAAGTACCATTAATATCTGCAACAGATTCTTCATGTTTTAATTCAGCAAATGATCGTGATATTGTAAAAGTTGTAACAACAGCTGGACCACAATGTGTTGATAAAGAATTTTTAACTCAATTATTAACACGTAAAAATGTCATACCAGCACGAAAACGTCGTGATTTTATACCAAATGAAATGAAAGATGATCATTATTGGGAAAGAAGACGAAAAAATAATTTAGCTGCAAAACGTTCAAGAGAAAAACGACGTTTAAATGATATTGTACTTGGTAAGAACATCTTAAATTTATTTTTATTTTTATTTTTTATTTTTATTTGTCTTTAGAAACTAAAGTTGTTGAATTAACAAATGAAAATGAAACATTAAAAGCTAAACTTAATCTTATGCTTTCACGTTTAAATATGAAAGAAACTGAAATGGAAAATATATTTGAAGAAGAACAACGTCTTGGTCATATATGTCTTAAACCAGCTACATCAGCATCAATAATTCTTGCTCAACATAATGATGATGATGATGATGATGAACATTCATCACAATTAACAATATCAAAAGATTCATCATCATCTGAAACACATGAAGATGATGAATCAAATACTCCTACACAACATCCAATATTTTATAATCAATTACTTAGCAATACAAATGATAGTGCAATTGATTTAAGTCGAACAGAAATAAAAACAGGTAATTTATTAACAACAATACCAAGTAAAAGTCCATCACCATTAACACCATCACCATCACCACCAAATGAGTCTTTATTACAAATTCTTGCTAATCAAATGCTTAAACCAAAACAACAACAAGAAATTTCAGCATCATCACGTTTATTAACAATAGCATCACCAATTGAAACAAAACCAACAATATCAACATTAAAAAGAAATTTTAATCAAACACAACAAGATGATGAACAACAACATAAATGGAATGAAGCGGCAATGACACTACTTTCATTGAATAAACCACCAACACGTATTGAACCACAAGTTACATTTCAATCTGTTATTAATGATATTTTACGTAAACCAAATCCTCCTAAAGCTACGATTGATTATCATAGTAATCATAGTTCACAACAAATACAAGGTGAAAATTTTCATCATCATAATTCATTTAATCAATGGAAAACATTAATGAATTATTTTTCAATGCCACCAACTCAACAACAACAACAACAACAACAACAACAGCAACAACCAACAAATATTAATCCTTCACAACAACACGAATCTCGAGGTGATATGATGCCTTTAAAATTACGTATGAAAATGTTAAATGCGAAAAGTTAACAAGGCAATTAAAAAAAAAACAAATACAAACGGTTAGGGCAAAACTTGTAACAGTAAAACGAACAGTGTTCGTCTATATATAAATTTAACAGAACAATTTTCTTATATGAAAAATGAGGGATAGATGGTGGCGAGGTGTGAGCAGGCACAAACTCCACATAAAGGAGATAGTTGTATAAAGAGAAGGCGTGTTAGACAGTGTGCGATCATAAGAACGCAGGCGAGATCCTTCAGTACAGTTCAACGCTCATCACAGCGACCTCCACAAATTATATTTCTTAGCTATTAAACATTAATAGAGCCAGGGAATTGTATATTATATCAATAGAAAATTAAAAAAAAAAGTGTTTAAATTGTTCATATTGCATGTTTTTGTTGTGTATTGTTGTCTCTTTTATTATTATTATTATTCTTATCTTATAATACATCGAATATTTTACTCCGAATGTTATTAAACATTTTGTTTTGTACGTCTGCTTTCCTTTTGTTTGTTTTAACAATAAATAATTAAATAATATTAAAAAAAAAATTGTTTTCAATTTAATTTTACATATATACTATTGTCAAAGAAAATTATTTTTGAACAAAAGAAATTTTCGTAAAACTTATTATGATTATCAATTAGAGTTATCAATACGACAAGAATAGAAGTACATTTTGTAACCTTTAAAAGCAGTCATTAACATTGAACTCAACCGTGAAGGTCATCTACATATTTATATGAAAGCGAAAAGGAATATTGCTTTTTTCTATTCATATTGAACGCACTTAAATAGTCATTTGAATGACAAGGCATTGCATAAAATTTTTTCTCTCTTATCTCCATACAGAGAGGTGATCGATGTTAATAACTCATGCGAAATGACAGTCGACCGATGTTAGTAATTTCTCGTTTTTTTTCTTTTTCTTTTTTTTTTAATGAGTACGAGTAAAAGCAATCTTCAATATTCATCTGTTTATTCAACCCTATCATTCATTCATTCATTTTGAACAAATATTCATTGCTCCTATTCGTTCAATATCGTTTAATAAGAAAGAAAGAAAAACAGAGACGAGGATTATTTGTTCATAGGACATATTTCAACGGTCAACTATGTTCTCAAATCCTGTTTATAATCGACCACCACAACTCAATGAAAATTTATTATCCAAAAATTTAGCCGGTCTTTCATTAAATAGTGCTCCAACTCAGCAGCAGCAGCAGCAGCAACAACAACAACAACAACGAAATATTAATTTTGAATCATTTCAATTTCCTCAACAACAACAAATACCAATTGATATCGGTAGTTATGCTCCACCATTACTCAACGATGCAGATATTAAATGGTCATCAACAGGTGATATTGATGTTGCATATGCTCGTGGATCTACGATGGTACGTCAATATAATAATTCAATGATTGATGATTATTATAAAAAATTTCTCCGCCCGATAACGGATTATATTGCTATACCAACGAATGGTCAACCAACATATGTTTATCAAAATTTAGGTGGACAACCAAATTCTACTTCTTCAGGATTCAATCAACAACCTTATGTTGGCGGTACATATAAAAAAAAATAAGATCCTTTTTAGATTTTTAAGTGATATTATAACTTTATTTTGTAGTTGAAGTAGCGAATGATCCACAAGCACCAGTACTTACTACTACTAGTTCAAATGTGACAGGAAATGAAAGTGAAGAAAAAAAACATAAGAAAAAACATAAAAAACGATCATCAAAACATACTAATAGCGAAAATAATAAAAGTAGCGATAATGAAAAAACAAATGAAGAATCGTATGATATATATACATACTTTTTTATTTTATTTTAATTTTCATTATAATCGTCATATTTTTATAGAAAAAAAGGAACAACAGATGTTGATGATAATCATCAGACATCTTCTGTTCCACTAGTTATTGGAAATCAACAACAACAAATCGCTGGACCACCTGTTTTAAAACAAACGTAGGTAGAAAAATTATAAAATAAAAGAACAAATAAAATTTTCTTTTCTTCTTTTGATTAATAGTGGTGCTGTTGGTCCACAAGTACCAATGAGATTTCCATCAAATCCACTTGTCTATTTTGATATTGATATTGATGGTGAGCCACGTGGTCGTCTTCTTATGGAACTCTTTCGTCATGTATTACCACGTACAGCACAAAATTTTCTTTCATTAGCATTAAATGAACAGGGTTTTGGTTATCGTTTATCGTATTTTCATCGAATT